AAAAAAAAATACTTTTAAAAAAAGTAAGGGAAAAATCTCATTACTAATAAAGGAGCCACTTTATACTTGGGAGAAATAGGGTATTTTCCATCATTCAGAAATCATATATTCATCCCATGAGGTACTACTATTCTAGGAAACCTGACTCTAAAATGTCTATTGTAGAATATGTTCTAATTAATAGGATGCATTCAGAGGGATCTCTGCCAATCACAGGTAAGAAAAGAGGAAATTAGAAACAAATTCTGAAAGAGATGTCTAATTAGGTTTCTAGCTATCCATAAAATGGTGGACTAGATAGAAAAGTAGACACATGATGAAATTTAGAAAAAAAAATCCTCATGTTTCTTAATTACACACTAACAGGGTACGATGAATGAAAAAATAAACTAGTAGGAATATTAGAAAACCTTGATTAAAGGAAAGACAAAATGTTATGTGTTTAAAGAGAGTTTTTAACTAGTGAAGAGTTAAGAAAGTTCTGAGCATTTCTGTAACCCATCTGTAGTCAAGTTTGTTAAAATCATGGAGTGCTATCCTTTTTTTAAAAAATAAGTACTTTATTATGATGTAATTCTCATATCATAAAATTCACCCTTTTAAAGTATACAATTCAGTGTTTTTTAATATATTCAAAGAGTTCTTTAGTCATAATCACCACTAAATAACTTCAAAATATTTTCATCACCCCATAAAAAAAACCCCACACTTATTAGCATAGCAGTCACTCCCACCCTCTTCTCCGCTGCCCTAGGCAACCACTGTCTCCTTCCTGTCTTTATATATTTGCCTATTTTTGACGTTTCATATAAATGAAATCATACAATGTGTGGCCTTTTGTGTCTACTTTTTTCACTTAGCATAATTTTTCCAATTTCTTTTCTTATACTGTTAACTGATAGTCCATTGTATGGATATTATACTACATTATTTAATCAATTATTTAGTAATAATTTATTGAGGCATACTGTTTTAAGCACTGCAGATCTAAATGAAAAACGTTTTTCAAGAAATTCAAGAAGTGGGAAATTGATAAAGAGAATTACATATCAATGGCAGAATGGGGCCAACAGAATATAGGCTTCAGAATGGAAAATCGACCTGGGAAAGACAGGTAGGGGTCAGACTATGAAAGGTATGAAGGGCCCTGCTCCAGACCAAGCAATCTGGACTTGATGCTCCAAGCAATGGAGAACTTTTCCTTCAGGAACAGCTTTCCCACCACTGACTTCCTTTTTTCTCATCTTCCAACGCCTACATATAGAAACCCAAACCCATAAACATACACGCCCACACTCATCCCAACTAAATAAAGTATGCCCGTCTTCAAAGCCCTCTCCATAAAGCAATTCTCTGATCATCCTGTCAGTAAGTAACCTTTCTCTTTACAAGCTTTAACAAGCTGCTTTTACCTTTCCCATAGTATTTATCATATGCTGATATATGGTGATACAATTGCAATCTCCCCTGCTGGTGTGTATTCTACTTAAGGGCAAGGGCTGTACTGGGTATTTCTGAAACCCAAGCCATGTAATTGCTGAATGAATAGACAAGGATGTGAACAAAAAACACCCGTTTCAGGGAGGAGTTGTGGGTATGGAAGTAAAACTATGGGACACCGATGGAAGAAGCACAAGCCTGGGAAGAACACAGGTGAGAAAGGCCATTGGCAGCTAGAAGTGGAGAAATAAACAAGGGTGATAATAGCGACTGAGTAGCGGCCACATGCCAGGCAAAATACCAGTGCTTCATCACATTTAACAGAATAGAAACAAGCCTGAGAAAGGTAACAAGAAAGTGGCAGAAGTAGGATTCAACAACCTATATTTAATTGCAAAGGACACGGGCATTCTAATCGGCCACACTGCCACCCGACTTTTGTAACGGTGTTTAGGATTGCATAAATTGTTGTATTTATTTTGACATAAAAATGCACAAGGATGTAGCTGACTAAGTATATCCTGAAATCCTCTAAAACTAAGTTATACTGTCAATAAATTCCAGTCAAAACTGATGAAAATGGATACTTGATTATTGCTCTTTCAAAAGAAATATCCACAAAAGTCTCCTCATCTTGCAGCCACAAAAGAGCCTTATTTTAGAAATTATATAAGGTTCCCTTAGGATATGAGTAGACTTTCAAAATTGATTAATCTAAGCAATTTTGTTATGCACTCCAAGGCTGACTCAAACATTGTCTGAAACTGAGAGAAGCATTTTAGACACAGCATTATTACTAAAGGCAAACGTCAGAAAATAGTTAAATTCAACACTATTTCAACTAATAGGAATATTATTTTTCATAGTATCTGCAATTAGCAGGAACTATTTAGATGAAGATTTTTCATAACACTATCATTTATCATGGAAGTTATCAGTGTAGACTACCATTTGTTTTTAATGGCAATATTGGGGGTGCCAAAAAAATGTATCCAAGTGAACACTTTGGTCAACATTGCTCAAGCAGTAGCTCACCATAATCAGAAGTGTCTGGATGCTGATGAACCACTTTGAGCACCACTTGTAATTGCAGAAGTCAAACGTGACTTGTATTTATCTTTTGTTACTGGTATATATTGAGTATTACAATTTTAATACCATTTTCCTTTCATTTTTTTGGCACCCCCAGTATAATTAGTAAATGAAATAATAGTCTTTTAGTGATACTACTGCGGTGGGGTTGTAGCTTTACTATGTATTCTTAACAATTACAAATAGGAAAAAAATGAAAGCTTAACTCAAAGACCCATCTTTCTATTTAAAATAGCAAATAAAGCCTCTGTGTTATAAAACAAACACACAAGCACAAGCAGGGTTGGTGTATCATCTACTCAATTAAAAAGTGCCCCCACATCTATGTCACTTGAAGCAAATAAGTTGCAGCAGGCAAAAGAGCTCCTCAAACAATTATTTCTTGCTTTTCAGAGCTAATGTAAATGATATCAAATACTTTTGAACAAATTTTAATTTCTATGTTGAAAGGTATGTTTTTTAAAAACACAATATGGTACTAAATCTTAGAAATTACAGTCAATGGAGCTATTTCTGCCTGCCTACACTTGGGAACTCACCACATGTTCAACACTTTCTGGCAGCTATACACAAAAAAAAATACAAAGAAAAAAAGAGAGAGAGAGATATCATCAGAAACAGCCCACATTGAAATTGTCACTTTGTTTTTCATGCTTAATTTTTTTCCAAGCAGCATTATAATTTACATTCACAAAAAAACTAATTTAAAACTAATATTAATGCATGCAGCATACTATAAAATTAATAATCATTTATTCTTATGCTTACAGAAAAAAAGAGCATCTATAGTATAGCAATAACTTCATGCATCAACACGCCTAAAAATAAACAGCTAAAAATATGCTGTTGATTTCAAATAAGAATTTGAGCATAGTTCTTAAATAACTATTTTTGTATTATTAAAATATTTACTGAAATAGTACTGTTTTGAACAGTGATGAAAATATTAAACGTATCACTTGTTTTGCATGCACTTAGTCCTTGAAAAAAATTCCTGAAATAAATGCATCTGACTATAAATCTCAAACATGCATAGTTTAAGAATAAAAAGTTACTAAAATGAGCAAAATGAATACATACTTAGTTTCATCCATCACTTCTACTTCTGTAGGGGCTGTGATGGGTGCATTTGAACGTCCTGCAGTAGGGTCATCTGTGTTTAACTCTCCATTTGTAGAACTTACAACCTACAAAAAACACAACAAAATTATACACACACACACACACACACACAAAGTAATAGATTATACAATGATAAACATAACTAAGATTAAAATATTTAATTAGAAAGTTAATATGAGGAACATAAAAATATTAATATGTAATTGTTCATAACTGAATACATTAAGAGGTCTGGCATTTTATTAAAAATCAAGGTCATCCAATATTTATTATCCAACTTACTTCCTTTTCATCTTGAAATTTCTGTCTTCTGTCTCCTTCCTTCTGGTTTTAAGGCTAACTCCTACACTTATATCTTTATCAATTTCCTCTTGTGTGCTCACTCCTTTGGTACCTTACTTCATCATAGTTATGTCCCTTGCAAACTTCAATATTGCTCCTTTCAATGGAGCCTTCATTTCAATATAATCATGCTCAGATCGCCTGTTCGTTCACCCAGTGGTTCAAGCCCCAAATCTAGGAGTCATGATGATTCCTCTCTTTGACTTAAACCCATATCTAATCCATCAGCAAGCAGGTCCTGTTATATCCTCCCTGGAAATACAACCCAAATCTAATCAGTTCTCCCCACTCTATTACTACTAAGACTTCGGTCCAAGCCACCATTATCAACTCTTCGGTGAATAAGAGCAAAATCTATTAAGTGGTCTTTTGCTTTTACTTGTACTCCCTCCCCCATTAATGTATTGTCCACACAACAATCAGGGTGTTCCTTTTAAGATATAAATTGATCACTTATAATTCCATGCTTAAAACTCTTCAAGTATCTGACTTTCCACTTCATTTAGAATAAAGATCAATATACTCGACTCCAATTTACAAAGTCTCACAAGATCTGAATCCTGCCTCCCTCTCTGATCTCATACCACTTTCCCCTTTGCTCGCTAACCTCCATCTAATACATCAAGTTTATTCCCACTTTAAAGCCTTGGCTTTATCTATTCTCACTGACTGTATCTCACATACTGGCCATCTTCTTGTCTTTCAGATTCTTAAAGAATGTCTCTAAAACAGGCCTTTTCTATCACACAATCTAAAACTTCCATGAAGACACGCTTTCATGTTATACTCTAGTTTTACACCTTTGTATAGCATTTATCCAAGTTGATATTTTTCTGATTAATTTTGTTTCTTGATACCCACGCCCGCCTCCATTAAAATTAGGCTCCATGACAGTAAGAACCTTGTGTTGTTCCCTGCTATGTCTCCCTGGCACAAAATAGGCACTCAATGAATATTTGCTGAAATAAATGCATGCATGCATGAATGAAATCTTAAAACAAGATAAAAACCATAACAAAACTCTCAAATTCTCTTGGTCCTATAAAGTCACCTTACTGTCCTATTTCTTGCTTTCCCCAAAACTTCTTGAGAACAAGTTTTAACTTACCATTTCCATTTTTTAATAAAATTTTGCATTCATTTATTCCTTATCTCCTTGCAATATGTACTCCATCCCTACATCAGAACTCTAAGAGTTCTCTTGAAGGTTACCAATGATTCCTAGAAAATATATTCAGTAGTCTTTACTCAATCTTTATTTTCCTGTACATTTCTTATCACCTGGCACCAACTGATGACTTTGCAGTAAGATGGATCTTGATTCAAAACTTAACTCTACCACTTACCAGTTATGTGACCCTGGAAAAGATACTCTATCTTGCTAAATACCTCAGTGTTCTCAACTATGAAATGGGAAACTGCAGTACCTATTTAACAAGGTTGATGTGAGGATGAAATGAAATCAATATATAAAGCAAGGGCTAGCATATAGTAAGAGCTCAATAAATGGCGGCCATCTATATCACTGTCAGTTTCACCTACAATCATGACTTCAACTATCATCTCTATGCAAAGGACTCCATGAGCCCAGCCATTCACCCACATATTCAGTTAGATACACCAATTTTGCCACCTGAAATTCAGCATTTCCAAAACTAAATTTATCATACTCCCTCTTAAATTTGTTACTCTTTCTATGGTTCCAATTTCCATTAAAGCCCTACCATCTTCCCATACCTCCAGGCTCAAAATCTAAGAATCATCTTTGATGTTTCCCCTAACTAATCTCTTTATGAGAAAAAATAAAAAAAATAAATGAGACCTGGGCACCAGAGTTGACAGCCGGCTACTAGGCTTAAGAGTACCATTTACAGAGCTCCGTATTTCTAAAACTCAATTCAAGAATTCTTACTGAGATGCTACAACATGCCAAGCACTGGTCTAGGAACTTGGAATACCATAGTAAACAAAACAAACATCCTTGCGCTTGTGGACCTAATTTTCTAGTGTAAGGAAATAGGCCCCTTTTCTCCCAACTTGAAGGAAAGTAATTAGAAATCAACTAATGTATCTGGATTAATTATGGAAGTTCAGTGTACTATATCCTATGTAGAGCAAGCACTTAGAAATGAACACTGCATTAATTAGTGCCTCCAGCTGAAAACACACTCAGCTTCCCTGATCATCTTTAGAGACAGCCCAAGAAGAGGAAAACTCCTGTGTCTGCGTCTGCTTCTCTGCTTCTGGGGCACCTGCTTCCTCCTTTCTGTCATTCTAACGAGTTATGTATTGATTTTTTTGTCTTTATTTTCTCCTCTTTCTGAGAACATTTAAAATAACTTTTGTTCCAATTCTCAAGCATAACTTGGTTCTTTATTCTGCATTTTTAAAATGTCAGAACCCCTACTCTGAATTGAAAAGGAGCTAGAAAGCAGGATTCTTATCTTATACTTTTGTATTCTCCCCTACTTTTAACTAGCAGAGTACCTTGCATACAACAGGTAATCAAAACAGTTCACTGAACAATTTCGACTGCTCTCCCCTCAAAATAATATTTAGCAGTTTTCTTTTTCTCCTTTTTGTTCAACAGCTAGAGGGACCCCAGCTTGAATTACAGGCAGCTCCTTTACCGTATCTTCCCTTAACCTTAAGCAGCATAATTGAAAATTTAAAACCCAGGTATTCTAAATTTCCAGCAACAGCAACTATATATGCATTGTAATTATAAAATCTGATTTACTTCAGTTCATACAAAATTATACCAGACTTTAATAAACTTTATTTTACTGAAATGTTTCACATACCATTCTATCTGGTTGACTAGAACCAGACCAAAAGGAAGTAATTTCCTTATTTATGTAATTTTTCCTGGGCTTCCCAGGTTCCCTAACCCTCTGGGTGAAGACCAACATCCCAGGATCAGAATAGAATCAATGTGGTAACAAACAGAGTTCTGCAAAGTTGGCCTACTTAACATTGATAACTTGAGAGTGAATCAAGGCATTAAAATTGTTTTCACTGAAAAAAACCTAGTTTTTGCAAAGGGATTTTACAAAGAAGAAACAAAGACAATAAAAATAATGTGTCATTACATTCCTGGAAACCTAAATCAATCAATCAAACAAATATATACAAATTATTTTTATAAGCCAAATTCTAAAGAAAGATTCCCTTTAGATGACATTTCTAGAATTATAACTCAAATTAGAACATAAAAGTCTCTAAAATAATAGTGTTCATCAGGCTGATTTTCTTAATGAAAGATTGTATAAATCTTTGAGGTTTAGAGATGTTTTGAGGTTTGACATTTCAAAAAATAATTCAGATGTCTTACAGAGTTTTTTGTTCTTGTTCTTAAAAATATTTTCTCTTACATTCCCACTCTGATAAGAAACTAAAATAAGAAACACAGTTCTTATTTTAAGAGGTTTTTTTTTAAAAAAAAGGCAAGCCAACTGCAGTTGTACTATCAGTATATTAATTTGGGGGGTGGGGGGATGGGGGACGGTGACAGGGGGACGACAGCCTGCCACTAAGTGTGAGAGATAAATGATGGCTCGCTTATGGCTGCCTGCCTCATCTAATTCCAAAAGAAGTCATGGGCTTTTGAGTACAATCAAAGATAACACATGGTATCTCTGTAGTCAATGATTTTAAAAGGCCAACTAATACACTTTCCAAATATAATAAATTCACACAATTAGTTATACTTAATCTTCCTAATTTCTATTTGAGTCCTTTTAAGCATGTTACCAAGTGCTTAGTAGAGGCTCAATATCTTATTTAACCAGATCTCTATCTATCTAAAAACTATATTAGAAATATTAAAACATTATATATTTTACTTACACACTCAGTGGTTTCTAAAAGTCATCCATAAGAAACCACACTAATAAATGAGATATAGTTAAAAAGAGTAATTTCCAAAGAGTTTATAAGACCTGTGCTAGAGTTCATATGTATTGTTTAAAACCAATTTCCTTACATATTCTAAAAACTACAGCAAAAGCTATAATTGATATTCCAACTGATGACCCATAGTGACATTCTCACTGACTTCCAACAAAGATCAACCCAAAGAGATTTTCCATCTAAACTGCACCTATAGAAGTATTAAGAAAAGCACTATATTCTTTGAGTAATGCAATCTTTCAAGATGTTACTGTCAATGTTACTGTAAAAAATATCAAGATATATTCATAATGCTGATTCACCCCAATGATAACTAGACAAGGAATTTCCTCAACTAAACCTAAGAGATGAGCTGGAAACTATTTATGTAATAAAAGCATGTAACTACAGTACTCTCCCCTTATGCATGGTTTTGCTTTCCATGGTTTAGGTTACCCATGGTCAACTGCAGTCAAAAAATATTACAAGAAAATTCCAGAAATAAACAATTCATAAGTTTTAAATTGTTCATTGTCCTGAGTAGCATGATAAAATCTCTGCCCAGGATGTGAATCATCTCAGTGTTCAGCATATCCACACTATATACTTTATCCACCCATTAGTCACTTAGTAGCTGCCTTGATTATCGAAATGCTTGTGTTCAAGTAACACTTATTTTACTTAGTAACGGCCCCAAAGCATAAGAGTAGTGATACTGGCAATTCAGACATGCCAAAGAGAAGTTGTAAAGGACTTCCTTTAAGTGAAAAGGTAAGCACCTTACAATATTTTGAGAGAGGCTACATTCACATCACTTTTATTACAGTATAACTGTTTTATTTTATTATTAATCTCTTACTGTGCTTAATTTATAAATTAAACTTTATCATAGATGTGTACATATCGGAAAGACATAATATAATATATATAGGGTTTGGTACTATCCATCTTTTCAGGCATCCCCTGGGGGTCTTGGACTGTCTCCCTGTAGATAAAGGGGGATTACTTCCACAACCTCTCTACTTCCACAATCTCTCTTTTGCAAATTTCAGTACCCCAGAAAACTATGAATAGAAAGATATTTGTATTAATCAATTTTTTTCCTTTTTAGTATCTTTTCAAAGATTTAATAGAGAAGACTGAAACTGTTTATTTGAAATGTTTTTGAAAAGTCAGTATTAACAATTAGTATAATAAAGAACTGATTGAGAAACGACATCTATTACTCCTCTGACTTTTAACTATATATATTTTTCTTACCATGTCAAGATATATTTGTCTAATTTTTTTTCTGTTATCATCACCTGTATTTGTGTTTCTGAAGTAATATTGACTAAAATATCAAACTGCTTATTAAAATGTTATTCTTTTATTTTCATCAACAGTGCTTGGTTGCACCGCATATCGGCACCATTTTTAATTCTGCACTTTTTCCCCTAGGAGCTCAGGGTCACACTATTCCTTAAATGCAAACCAAACGCTGTACAACTAGAGATTACCAATCAGGAGGTCCACCATGCCACGTAAAATAGTTTTTCAGTAGTGTCATTATTTGACTTCTTCCCTCTGCTTGCAATTATCTCTCAGCTTTATAGGATTCGGTTTTCAGTTAGTATTGAGCTCAATGGAGTTGTGCTACAGTAAAAGACACAGCTACAATAGAATTAGAGGTTAGCACTATCTGTTGTCAGTGGTACATTTTAGAACTTAATTTTGGAGATCCTGATTTGCCAGGTAGAAACATATCAGAAAAAGATAACCGTGTCCTTCCTTTCCTGGGCCCCCATTTCCAACTACACTCTACCTGCTAAATATCTTTCACCACTTTTTATTTCTCTTCATCTCCATGACCCATCATTTTCCTCAGCTATAGACTTTCCATAGCTGTGCCCTGCGTTCGACTTGCCTCCCTTCTATCTTGTCTGCAGCAACAGTGATCTTTAAAAAACACTAATGGAATCAAGTTAGTTCCCTGTCTAATTCTCCTTATGGCTACTATATACCCTCAGAATAAAGTCCAAATTTAATAGCGAGATCTGTGCGGGCCTTCATGATTTACCTCCTGCCTGCCTCTGTCTTCTTGATACACAGAAGCTTGACTGATTCTGCGCAGTTCCTCAGTCTGTCCCTCTCCCCTCCCTATGCTTTCTCCACTGGTCACACTGCTTGTTTATTCGCCTTCCCCACAGACCTCAAGTTCTAAGGGAACAGGCATCATATATGTTATTCTTCCTTTTATCCAAGCACGTCACACAGTGCCTAGCACCTTGGAGACATTTATATATTTCATATATTTGAGGAATAAGGAACAGCAAGAAACTGAAAGTGGTAGGTCTGTTTCTCGGTCATGTTTATCAGCAATGATTCTAAGGGGAGAAGAGGGACACACGTGATTCCCCCAAGAGTGTTTTCAAAACACATACAAGCCAATCACAGATTCAAAATAAAGTCCACAGATGTGTGAATATTTTTCTTAGACTCTTGAATGAAAAAGCTTACCAAATGTATAGCTGTCTCATTCTGTTTAGTGGATTAACACGATTCCACTAAAAAGAGGGCATCTGACAGTGCTTTCTTTTGGCTTTACCATTACACTTTACTTCCCAGAGATGGATAAAAATACCAGTCAAGTTTCTTAACTTGCAAAAGCAATAGATTATTCTACTATTTAGCAGTGCCTCAAGCTTCTATGCTAAATATTTTTTTAAAAAATTAATTTCTCACAATAAAACCCTGAGGTAAACTATTATTAATACTTCCATTCTACTGATGAATAACGTTAAGGCACAGAATTTGAACTCAAGTCTGACTCAGAGCTGGTACTTTTAACCACAATGAAATCAACTTGGTAACCTACGTGTACATGTCTGACCTGTAATATGTATAATAATTCTGAAGAGACAGAGTTCAAATTTAGACTGCATGATTCGGTATCTACTAAAAGCACACCTGAAATAATGAATATCTGAGGAGCTTTCTCTTAGGTCAAAATGGCAAGTGGTTTTATCTTGTATGTCAACTGGAGCCACCTAAGTGGTACCACTTTTGAGAGCAATTCTCAGTTCCCTGAAAGAGTGCAGTGATGGTATAAACTTCTAGTCAGAAAATAAGTCATAGAGGTGTACTGTACAGCACAGCAACTATGTCAATAATACTGTAGTATTGCACATGTCTGAAAGTTGCTTAGTGAAGAAATCTTAAAAGTTCTCATCACAAGAAATAAAACTGTAACTTTGTATGGTGACAGATGGCAACTTGAATTATTGTGATCATCTCACAGTGCATACAAATATTGAATCATTATATTCTACATGTGAAACTAATGTTATGTCAATTATTCCTCAATTTAAAAAAGAGTGCAATGATAGATGCGGGATAAACGCCATAGGCCCAAATTGGCTCATTTTAGGTTACTGCTGATGCTGCTTCTGAATATTCTAAATTTGTATTAACAGATAGCTATTTTATTACCAGATACTATATACTTATTATGGAAATATCTTTCCTGAGAAATATTTGATAATATGCCTTTAGGATTTGTTAAAGATAATTTTTTTTAACTGCCATATATAAAATCTTTATATCTCCTGCAAAGCCAATGCTTGAAACTGTCCAACAGGTGGTTTAATGACCCTTAAGGCAAAGACCTCAAGGCTAATTCTTCTCATACTTTTATGAGAAGAACATATGAGAAGAAGAGAATAGAACAGGTTTCTATTCTCTTGATCTCTTCCCTTTATCAGATGATGAGAATGATACAACACACTGTGTCCCTTCCTTCATTCAGAATCAAATATAGTATTCAATTATTATAATAATCACATTAGCTTAGACTTTAGGCACTTTTATTTCCTCTTATTAGTTTTAAGTGATGGTTTTATTAACCCAATTATACAAGTATCACATCTTTTCAAATTCTGAAAGTGGGTAGGATATAAATTATAAATGAATCCATTATTTTGGGGTGGGGCAAGATTCAGGCATGATCTTACTTAGGCTACCAGTACATTTTTCATGACAGTCAAACTTGTTAAATGTCAATCATATCAGGTTAATGTTGTAAAATATATTCAGGAAGTCAGTAAAAATAATCTGACATTTTTTGTTTTACCTATGTATTACTAGAATTCTAGTCAGTAAAACTGGCACCTATTGACTAGACAGTAGAATGAAACGAGATGTAATCTCTATAGTCACAAAAGTTATAAAGAGATGAGAAGTGAGCAGAGTTGAAAAACTCTCTGAAAACATGTGAAGAACTAGAACATAGAGTACTGAAGTAATGAGCCAATAATCAAACTCATTCGCCCTTTGATAGTCTAAAAAAACCCATGAGCCACCTTTGGGAATCCCACAAAGTAAGTAAAAGCTAAGTTTTTGTGGTAATAGTATAGAAGTGGTTCGAACGCTTTCTAATAATGCCTTAATTGTTGCAGATTTCCCTGAACAGTGAGCAAGAAACTTGCTATGATAACATACAACACTTAGAAACATGTAAACGCATACAGATACATACACAATTCAGCCTGTGTTATGTAAATTAATATAACTGGTCAATTAATTTTTCCAATGATATGAATTGGGATCATAAACAACTTTACAATTCAGGGACCCTTGCCTCTGATCCCTCACTCTATAGAGTTTTATAGAACTATTCAAATACTCTATTACACATGATTGAAAGCTCCATAAGGCTACAAATATCTATAAAAATACTTGGTTATATAATTTAAATTACCCTAAAATTTAATGGTGAGAAAAACATGAAAACTTATAAAAATTAATCAAGAATTGATTTTTAAAATTCAAATTAAGAATAAAATTCAGAGCATAGATTCAGTAGATTTAATACATATACATATATGTGTATGTATATATGTACACACACACACAGACACACACAAGAAAAACGTAAATTTGGTAAAACATAGTGGAAAATTGTTCAAGTGGAAATAAGTGAATTTAAAAAAAATTTTTTTAAATTTGAAAAGTTCTAAATTGAGACAAATTGAAATTACATTTATTATCTCAATTACTTTAAACCAGCATTTAGATTACCAGCATTTAAAAGAAATAAGAGACTCAGGAATCTTTCCCTGTTTCTACAATAAACAAAAGATTAAAATGTAGGGGGTCTGAAAGGACAAAACAATAGCTATGTCTAAATGTATAGAAAAGGGAAAAAACAACGCATCAAAAAAATAAGGGATTGTTTTAAATTAAAATATCCAAAACATTGAGGGGAATATTTAATAAATACTTGTCCTTGAAGTTATTTTCTCCACCTGGTATTTTCACATACAAACAAAATATACCATTATAAAAATTAGGGTCATGCTTATTTGACCAATTATCAGAAAGTACATTCTGAATACTCAGGATGAAAAAAGTTAGATATCTACTTAACTGACTTAAGTTTGAAGGATACAAAATGAATGAAAGGGAAAAGATATAAAAATGTTCTATTATTTAAAGCATTAAAAAAGATTGAGCTTATTATTGGAAAATCAAGTTTCATACATATTTCAAGTAATACAGTTTGTTTTTCTAACCTGTTGTATGATTTACTTACATATTGTGGTATATACTTGCAAAAATGAACAAAGATAAAATTCTCAGGATCCCTGCAGGACCATGTTAATTTTGCGTTTTTGGTTAAATACAAAGGAATAGAATTATGGAGAGTTCAGCAACAAGTTTTTCATTAGGATATGAAATCATGCCATGAGCTCCAAAAAAAGGGTTAGTTGTATAAATTTGGGAAATATCACTCATGCAAAAATCAGAAAATACCTGTACCGAGCCACCATGTCTGTCTGCTGCAAGGTGAGCTCTCAAATGGTGGGGATTTGCCTGCTGGGAGTCCCAAGCTGCCCTGTGGTCTGCCGACTGCCATTTATTTAATGCATGTGGCATGCATGGAAGAAGAAAAACCCAATATGTTAAACATCTCATCCTTATAATATAGAAAACAAACGTAATAAAGGAAATTTAAAATACCCTTACTATTCTGAATCATAGATGCACTTATTTTTGTATACTGAATGTGGAGAGATTTTAGTTAAGTTGCTATAATTATGTAATGATCAACCATAAAAATAAAATAGAACCATAGAATTTTAGAAGTGAAAGGACTTTAGATATCTTAAATTCCACTCTGTAACTTTACCAATGATTATTAGCAAAGAATAAGGGAGGTAAAAATGACATGCCCAAGAAAACTCCAAATAAATCATGAGTGAACTAAAAAGTCATTCACTGTCTTTTCTTACAGTAGAGGTCCCCATTGGTTTTCTAATAAGGAACAACTTCTCGCAAGGTTTAAAAAAAAAGGTCCTTAAAGAGCTGTACATAGTATCCTAGGAAACTTTTCTCTCTTGGTTAGTACCCTGTTTCTAATTGTAAGGATAATATGAGAAAACACTAAAGTTCTTTAAAAAGTAAGAAGTGTTATATAAAATATTATGAGGCCATCACAATTTTTTTTAAAGTAACAATCCTACATATATGAATCTTTGCTTCCCTGATCTCTTTTTATCTAGTTCAATTAAGAAACCCAATTCCGGGCCGGCCGAGTGGCTCAGTTGGTTAAGAGCTCGCTCAAGAGTGTGAGCTTTGAGCAACAGTGGTTCGATGCCCAGCCCGAGCTGAGCTGCCGCTGAGCTGCCAACAGGTGACAGGATGGCTCAGCTAAAAAAAGAAAAAAAAGAAACCCATTTCCCTGGAATAGGCTGATAATTCTTGATGTTTTTAGATGACCTGGCAAATTTGCATGGCAATAACCACAAACTAATAATAATCTACTAGCAGAATTAGAAGTAGTTGCTTGCTTAATAGGGGTCAATTTCTATGTTTCAGGAAAATGTGGTCAGCACTAATAAAAAGGGGAAGGAATACAATATTTAAGTTTCTATGACATGTTTGGTTCTGCATTAGCTGCTTTATATGTGTTATCTCATTTTGAGATATAAAGTATGATCTTCATTTTACTGATGAAGACACTGAGATTTTAAACACTTTCCTAAGATCACAGAGGTAGCAAGGAGTATAGCAGAGGTTCAAACTCCAAACCTACTGCTCCTCCAATAATACTAACTTCTTGGCACAATTATATATGTTCTAAAGTCTTCAGTCCTCTTTCATTCTAGGATAAACAGGCAGCATTGGGAGGTCCTGGACCTCTTCAGGAAAACAGTAAAAGCTATGCAACCTCTCCTCAGAATAAACATTTACATACACCCAACACTTTCTATAAAATACCAGGATCCCCTGAACTTCAACCACTAACTCTAGGTTACAAATTGTTTATCTGGGGACATAACAAAGGTTTTAGTCATTTAAAGAATTAATTTTTGTTCTTTTGGGATTGTGAACTATGGGTTTCACATACCGCTTAAAACTCTTTACTGTTTCACAGATATTTAAGAAAGTTTTTCTAGATATCCAACTTTCCTATCATGATAACAGTCTGCATAACCAGCTTTCAAATTCCATATATAAGCTATCTTAAAAGATTTCCTGAAAAAAAAAATTGACTCCCTACACTTAGTGCTACGAGGACTACACAAATAAAATATGGTTTCCACCCTCAGTGAGCTCACAATCTAGCTAGCAAGACATGTCTGAAACATGTAGAAAGTTAAACTCTAAAGTATTTAAATTAAATTTAACTCAACAATAAGAGTTTCATTTATTATAATACCTAAGAGCTTAACTGGAGATCTTCACAGAACATGAATTATTGATCTTTTTCCAAAGTACCTTTGAGACATTAACTCTGATTTATGAGTATAAAACACAAAACCTGAGTCTTGACTACTGAGCCATTTCTTTCTATACACACCATCTTATCAGAGCACTCAAGCTACAACTAACTAGTTGTAATTTATAACTGAAGTAATCATATATAAGACCCTTTATTTTCCCAATTTTAAGGCAAAATTCTAAAACTAATCTATTTAAATGGGCTGTACTTTAAAGCGTAATACTGTTAAATAAAAATGTAAAATAAAAATGTAAAATTTTATTTTGCGATGATTTTTAATAAGTTGTGTTCTTTACTTTGATTTTCAACTCTTGTTTAACTCTCACTCGAACTCTTGATGGTATGAAAGATGTACAAGTAGAAAAGGATAATGCACTGTCGTGCTCTACAATGGGTTATAACTGAAAATTCCAAAGACACTGTTTAACTCAAGAGTGATAAAAAAAAATTTTTATGTCAAAGATGGATTCGATAAAGCTTCTTTTTACAAAAAAAAGTGAAAACATTGCTCAAAAATTTCAACAGCCTTCAAGTACCTTACCCAGGAAATACAAATTCTTCACTCTCCATCAGTCTTCTATGCCTCATCCTGAACCAACTCTCTCCTCCCTGCAAACTGCTTGCTATTCCTCAAACAAATTCTACATTTTAAACTTCTGATTCATATTTTATACTGTCCACTCTCCCCAAAATATCCTTATTCCTTCATCTGCCTTAAAAAATTTCACTTGTTATTTTTCAGGCTCATCTCAAAAACCACCTTCTGCATAAAATCTTTATAGTGCCCACATATTCCAATGACCTTCCATGGGACTATATTAATATGCTTCATGCGCTATAGCTTATTCTGCTTTGTAATGTAGTTATTTGAGAATTTACTGTAATAAGCATAACAGTAACACCAGCTATGAGATTTGAGATTTACTGAAGTCTTACTATATGCTAGAAATTAATATGCATTACTTCTATTTTATAGATGAGAGAACTGAGGCTTTGAGAGATAATTTGCCCAAGGTCAAGTCACATCCAAGTATGAATGATTCCAGAGACTGAGTGAGCTCTTAGCCACTCATTACAAAATCATTTCTTACAGGTTATATTGTTTTTCTTAGTTCTGCATTTCTTCAACATGTAAAATAGTAGCTTTCAAATACCAGAAACTCAAGTAAATAATTTACTGAACTAAACTATAGTTAGAAAAACCAACTGGTATCATTCCAACAAGGTATCCAAATACTTCTAATAGAATGCCAAAATTGCTCAAAACTTATACTAATTTATACCACTAAATCATGAATTTATAATTAAACTAACAATAAAAATTAGGAGAAATATGTATTTTCAATTCTTAGTGGGTGTATATAATCTGTTTTATCTATTGGAGGAAAAAAATATGTACTTTAATCCTCCAATACACATATACGTTGTGTATGTATAGACACAGACACACACACACACACACACACACACACACACACACACACACACACAAAGCTGTCATCTGAGCATGGTAAAACACCAAATATATTTATAAACTGTTAGAAGGTAATACAGAAGCAAATAAGACATTTCATATCTAAAAGGGCAGCAAACCTGGTTTTTGGATTGTTGCATCTTATCTCTATGTTGATGTGCTTCTCTGTTTGACGATAGTGCAGGATCTTGCTGAACTGCCCCCACTGGCGTAGGCTACAATACAATAACAATTAGCATCAATACATTCTATTTCGAAGTTATTTAAAAATCACTTAGCTGCTTTAAAGAATCAAAAAACATTGAAATAAAATAAGTTCTTAAGAAAAGACATCATTCTCAAAATATGTTGTTAAAGCTAACAAGTTACAACAAAGAGAACAAAGCTACTATTTTCAAAATATTTAAATGCTTTATCAAGCACAAAAGACCTCATGCTGTCATTACTTTTAGATTACTTTTTCATACAAAAAAATGAAACTGTACTTATTTATGTCTCTCATTTCCAAAGCTAATTTATAAATAGGATAAATTTTTTAAAGAAATTTAGAAAAACATTTTTTAAATAAGCTTATAAAATTATTAGTGTCAATATTTGACTCAGAAGATGCTTATAAAAATTTTTAATTTTCAGGGCCGGCCGAGTGGTGTGCTGGTTAAGAGTTGGCCTGGGACGCCAGAGGGACCCGGTTCGGATCCCACATATGAGGGCCAGTGACACTGCCCTCCACAGCTAAGATGCTGAACAACAGCTCAACCTGGAGCTGGGCTGCCCTGAGTCGGCGGCAATGGCGTAGGCTGCAGCCCCTGTGGCAGTGGGTTGCCATGGGCTACCGTGTGTAGCCAGCAGCCAGCGTGAGCGGCCAGCAGCCGCAGTGAGTGGCCGTCCAAAAGCCGACAACTGATCTGCCTCACCCGGGAAGAGCTCGATGATGGTGCCAACTTGGGCCAGTGAAGCAACGTCCTCCACAACTAGACTGAAGAACAAAAGGACAGCAACTTGTCTGTTCCCCTTCCCCCAATTCCCCAGTGCTGTTCCCATCCCCCAATTCCTCAATAAAAATCTTTAAAAAAAAAAAATTTTTTTTAATTTTCAAATACAATTCAAAATATAAATAATCAGAATTTATTCAGATTTGCATCAAAGATGCATATATATTCAGATCACTTTGATCTTTTAGGGGTCATCTCTTCAAAGAAAGAATATAATGGCATGTCTCTTTAAGTGATAAGCACCAATCCTAGAGTTATAATAAGGACAATTTTTTTTTAAGTTATAAACATTTAGGTACAGTTTTAAAAAACCTTAACATGCTCCAAGTTAAGTATCAATCTATTCCAACAGATAACGTAAAACTGCTAGAATTAAAACTTGTATTTATAAATTAAAAATGTTTTGAAATATGGCTGAAGTTAAAAGAAAAACAAAAACTAGCTGATCTTTTAAAGTGATCGCTAGAATATTATACCAAAAAAAGTATATATAACAATAATAATTATATCAGGAATGAAAAGTTCACAATAACTAATCACTCTAAAAATCAGAGTGTCCAAATTTAGGTTTTTTTATAAAATTCAAAGAATAATATTAGTACTGTTACATGAAATATCCCAAAAAAGGAAATAAAATGAACCCTTTTAAAAAATTATTTGTTCTCAACTCTTTTCAGTTGAAGGATCTTACTGTGGAAAACAAGCACTATAAACAATCTTTTCTTATGAAAGCATAGGATACTCACCAACTGTTTACCAATCCAGTCATATTCATAATCAAACATATATCCCTTTCGATCAAACAAGTCAGTAAAAAGCTTTCTTAGGTAGTCATAGTCAGGTTTTTCAAAAAAATCTAGCCTTCTTACATAACGAAGATACGTTGCCATTTCTTCTAGAAAGGAAATAAAAATTATTGATTATACTTTTCTATATACTTACTCCTTAATAAATTTTTTTAAATGTCTAAATGCACAGTATTAAAAAAACATGAATGTAACAAAATTTTATTGCTATTTAATATTTTATAAGTTTAATCACAATGAAATAAGAGAAAAAGAGGGAGGAAGGGAAATAGGGACAAAAGAGAAATGAGAAGTTTAATTTCACAAGCATTATTTTTGCTTCATTTCATTAAGAAAGGCTAAAATTTTTAATTTACAAAATTTTTTAATAAAAACCTTGGCGAGGATTAGAGGCTGAATCAACAAATTAATGCATGATTATTTAATCACATACTCAGCTCACAAATTTTAAAAATTATTTAAAATATTGGTGGGAACTGATTTATATATGAAAGCATTTGCCCTAGCTTGCTAGATTCCTTTAGAATCAGTAACATACACTAACTGACCAATAGAGGATTCAAATTTCTAACCTTGGCTATGAGCAGTATTCTAACCAACTGCCATAGCAAAATAAAGTTAAAACAGATCTCAGAAATATAACACAGGAGCACAGTGTAATTCCTCTTTTATTTCTGGTCATACAGTTAAAAATCATTTAGTAATATATAAATTTCGCCTGCCATTATAATTCCCAAGTGTGAAATACACACACACACACACACACACACACACACACACACACACACACACACACACACATATTTTAAAGATCACACTTTCCAGAATGAAAAAGCCGTAAAAATCAACAGGTAAAATGGTGAGCAATTAGCAAAACAGTGTTTCACCATGAGGGCACAAAAAGTCATTGTAGTAAGAAATCGGAGGTTACGCCTAGCTGCTTTTCTGATCCAATTCATGCATAGTAGCCAGTAAGGACAAGATCACATACTACCCTAGGGGCAATGCAAGTGGCAACCAGTAATCTTCCTCACATGTTGACTGTCACTATACCACTTTCTAGATAATCATCGGGTTAATTTACTATGGCATCCCCATTTTTCATGCAGAAATTTGTAGAGACTTTTTAATAACATGCAGCCAATCTGCATACCCCTAAAATGGCTAGTACTATGAACCAGTGTTTTTTTTAATCTTCTAGTTCTATATTAATTAAGAAAAATATATAATTAAAGCTTGCTGTCAGTGAATAATACAGCAAACTTGAGAAAGAACTACCCGATATTATACTACTGATATTACTATAATAATAACGTGAGCATTGTGCAGGAGAACCTGTGAATATCAAAGTGAGATATAAATTCAATCTTCTTATCTTCAAGTGTGATCTCTTTTTACTTAATGTTATTGCACAAATCACAGCAGATATTTTAATACATTAACCACACATTATTCTTATTCCTTAAATCTCCAAGAAAGCAAAACTATTTTCATAAAGCCCCCCCAATATAAAATTAGCCTAAAAGTAGAAAAGGTAGTAAGATTTTACTGTACTTTGAAAAAAACTAGGCTAATACATTGCACACCCCCTTTGAGCTTGACATTGAGACTCAAATGAGTAAGATTTTACACCAAAATTTTACAGTTGGTATTTTTAGCAATATATTAACTTATTAAAAGTATATCATTGAAAAAAATATTACTTTAGCTGGCAATGGTCAACCCTATTAAAAGATAGGATTTTCTTCTATTAATAACATCTTACAAAGCAAATATACAAATTGCCCCGGTGGTCTATGCATTAAATGCTGACATCTTCTAAATCATACTTGAGCTCATTTTTTTTAAAGCATGAATTAAGGTATTTATGGATTTAAGCAATGAATATTATCAGTTCTGGTTTTTGTGTATAAGCACATGTATCTATGAGGCATTATTCATTACCAGGAAAATTTTCACATAACACTTCTATTGGGGTGGCTCGTTTTGTATCTCCAATTTTCTGATACCTCTCTTTTAATGTGTCAGCCTAAAACAGAAAGGAAAAAATCTTGAGAAGATGGTAATTTTAAAATTACATTCTTAGAGGAGAGGGTCTTAACTATATTAACAATTTACGAAATTCAACAAGGAAATACAAAAACTATTACCTTTAAACCTTGCCAAGGAAGACTGCCTCTCAAAAAATACATGAACATATGACCTAAAGCTTCTAAGTCATCTCTTCTACTTTGTTCTGAAATATAAAAGAAACACAAATTTCACTTTTCTCCCCCAGTTAAGAATACAAGAATAGAGAACTGATTCTTATGTTATCAATTCATTCCCCAAAGTTTAGTATTTAAGTATAAAATACAGATCTAGTATTTATATGCGACAAAATTATGTTTAAACAATAATGCTTTTATATTAAAATTATCATACATCTTTAAAATATGCCATTATGGTTTTTTTTAGATGCTACTGGTGATTTATTTCTCTCCGTAGATATCTATTCATAAAAAATATAAGGCAGAGGAGAAATGGTTCCTGGGTCAAAAGATTCAGAATGTAACATATTAAAGGTACTGAATAAAACTAGTTTTTCCCTAAAATGTTAACCCTAATGTTAACCCTAAGTGTTATATGCTAAAAATGTTTAACTTCATTTAACCCTGCATTCCCTAAACTTATATGAGCAAAAACCTTCCATCCCACTTATTCATAATGTCCCACAAATTAACATTTTGTATGCATTTTTTAAAATACTCATTTTTGACAGATCCCAACATCAATAACCCCTCCAAAAACATGCTGCTAGAACAAATTATTATTTTCAAGTTGCTATTGTTTTAGTAACAAAATGTTGTATAGCATATAACTGAGTGACAGTCACAGACTAACACTCAGGGAGGTATTTATAAACATTTGCTGAGTGAAATTTTTTTTTCAACTTTTTGTCACTGACGTTAAATGCTTAAGATTTTTTAGTATTTTAAAATAATTCAAAAATGCTCATAAAAGGAAAAAATCGATACTTTAATAAAAGGATATTCATGTGCAAGATGTTTTATACAAGTGAAAAATCATCATACTATCTAAACAGTACTAAATGCTTTCAAAACACCAAACTTTTCAAATCATGGATCTGAACTATGGTGAATGGTTCAAAAAAAGTTTTAATTTTTCCTGTTATCTCATAACATTCCATGATTGTCTCTGGCAACACTTGCTACAGCTTAAAATTTTTCTGTGTTACTATTAAATCCATATCTATCCTCTCACCAGACAGCAAGTAACAGAAGGGCAGATGTCTCTTTGGCTCATTATCCTTAAGACCTATAGTATAATGGCTGCCACAGAGCAGGCACTCAACACATACTATTTAAGTACATAAATGAATATTTGAAAATATGTAATATCAGATATATGTCCCTTTTCTATAAGCACAGGAAAATATCTAGAAGAATATGCATCAAATCATTAGTAATCAGGCTTATAAGACTGGGCGACATTTCAATTCCTCATTTCATATTACTCAAAAAATGTGGCATAATGGGAAATTTTTTCCTTATATTTTGTATTAAACGATGTTAAGCATACACTATTAAAACAGCAAAATAAGTAAAATAGACTTAAATTTCTTTTTAAAGTCATTAATGAAAGTGAAATGTGAATAACATTTTAAAAAATCAGTTATGCCTCTTATAAATAAAATCACACTTTTATTATGTCCTGGGAACATTAAGAATGAAAAGTCACGCAAATTAAAAAATATCATTTCTGAAATCCTGCTGAGAATCAGAATCGCCACTGAAACTTTAAAAACCTCAAATGAGCAGGCCTAATGCTGGAGACTGATTCCTTGGGTAACATGTGGGGGAGAAGAATATACATTTTGAAAAGTCTAGTAGATAATTCTGAGTACAGTCAGATTTAATAAGCACTAAAAAAGAAACTTCTTTCATTGAAGTATAATTTACATATAATAAAATACACCCATTATAAGGATACAGTTTGATAAGCTTTGACAAGACACACATGTAAATACCACCACAATCAAAAAGTATTTCCAATATTCCACAAGGTTCCCTTATGCCCCTTGCTTGTTATTTTCCCCCTCCACTGGCCTCAAACAACCACTTAACTGCTTTTAGTCACTCTATATTGAATTTGACTTATTAGTTTCACATCAGCAGGATCATACAATATGGACCCTTGCATCCGTATTCTTTTCGCTCAGCATAATATTTTCAAGATTCATCTACGTTGTTGCACGCATTGATAGTTCATTCTTTTTTATTACTGAGAAGTTTAACATAACATATTTATCTATTCTCCTATTGAAGGACCTCTGAGTAACTTCCAGTTTGGGGCTATTATAAATAAAGCTGTTATGAACATTCTTGTACAAGACTTTGTGTGGACATATGCTTTCATTTAGTGCAGCCAGCCTATTAAATTTTAGCCATGCTAGTGGCTGTGAAGTATAATTTAACTTGAATATTTCACTGGTGACTAATGATTTTGAACATTGTTTCATGTGTCACTGATCATTGATACATCTTTTTGTGAAGTGTCTGTTCAAAGTTCAAATATTTTACCCTTTTTTTAAGATGTATTCTTTGTCATATTATAAAGTTGTAGGAATTGTTTGTATATTCTGGATACAAGTGATTTTCAGATATAAATTCTGCAAATTCTTCTGCTTTTTATTTTCTTAGCAGTATCTTTCAAAGAACAGAAGTCTACATTTTGATGAATCCAAATTAATCAGGATTTTTTCTTTTATTGTTAATGTTTTTTTATGTCCTATCTAGAAAATCTTTGACAACCTTAAGATCACTGAAGACTTTTCTCCTATTTTTTTTCTTCAAGAATTTCTATGATTCATTTGAAGTAATTTTTTTTTCTTTTTCCTTTTGGTGTGGGGTAAAGATTTAGATTCATATTTTTCAACATTAATATCTAGTTATTCTCTGTTTCTTTTCAAGATTATCCTTTCCTACCTTGAATTACTTTTGTACCACTCCCAAAAATCAACTGAGCATCTATGTTTGGGTCTATTTTAGGACTCTGTGTTCTGACCCATATATCTATGTCCATGCTAATACCACCCAAAACAAGTAGATGGAAAAGTAATGATAAATGAGTAAACCAATGATGATAAAATGAACAATCAATAGAGAAAACCATCAAAATAAAAAAACTGGTTATTTGAAAAGTTCAATAAAAGTAAAGACTAAAAGGGAAAAAAAACAAAACACAAATTACCAATATCAGGAACAACAAGGGGGTCACAAGACAGATCCTACAGACATTAAAAGGATGATAAAGAAGTAACATTATGCCAATAAATTCAACTTAGATGAAAAGGGAAAATACCTTGAAAGGTACAAATTACCAAAACTGCCTCAAGAAGACAATGTGAATAGCTCTATACCAATTAAAGAAATTTAATTTATAATTTAAAATCTTCCCAAAATATAACCCAAGGCCCAGATGCTGGGCGTCACTGGTGCATTCTGTTAAACGCCTAAGGAACAATACCAATTCTATACAAACTCTTCCAGAAAGTTGAAATAATGGGAACCCTTCTCGAGTCATCTGATTACCATTACCAAAACCAGACAAAGGCATTACAAGCAAAGAAAACTACAGGATATATTCCTCATCAACAGATACAAAATCCTTAAGAAGATAATACACCACGACTAAGTAAGATTTATCCTACAATTTAAAGTTGTTTTAACTTTCAAAAATCAATCTATGTAATTCACCATATTGACAGAATAAAAGATATAAATCTCAACAGACACAGAAAAAGCATCTGACAAAAGCTAATATGCACTTAGATTTAGGAATAGAAGGAAACTTCATTCTGAGAAAGGACATCTATAAAAAACCTACAACTAACATAATTTTTACATGGGGAAAGGCACCCCTAAGATCAGGAACAAAACAAGGATGTTCACTCTTACATTTTTTTTTCAGTGTTGTACTGGAAGCTCCTATCAGTACAAAAAGAGCAAGAAAAAATTTAAAAGGTATTCGGAAATGGAAATGAACAAGTGAAACTATGTTTCTTTGTAGACAATATGATTGTGTTGTAGAAAATCCTAAGTAATCTACAAAACAAAAACAAAAACAAAAAAAAACCCTATTAGGACTAGTAAATGAGTTTTAGCAAGGTTAGAGGATACAAAGTCAATATATAAACATCAGTTGTATTTCCATACTAGCAATGAACAATTAGAAAATGGATTTTAAAAGCAATACCATTTAATAACTGTATCAAAATACATGAAACATGTAGGCATAAATTTATCAATACATACTCATATGCAAGACCTGTATATCACAGCACATAGTTTAAAAGACTAAATGATACGTAAATACCGAGCTCTACAGTAGGGTTCTTTGTTAAGGAGAGAACTCAGTATAAAAGGCAATTCCCCTCTGAATTCAATTCAAGGGGGGCTTTAGTTACCACAGCGCCAACAAGTAATTATGAAGTGATCATGCCTACACACACGGTTGTCTCAGACAAAAGTATTAGTCTCTTAACCTACACAGTATTTAAAAATCCCAGCCATAAATATAAGCTAGTAAAATAAACCTACTGCAATGCAGTCTGAAATACTCCTGACCCTCAAAATTCATTTCTTTGTGTCTTTCACCAGCTGACAAATCTGGAAGTAAATTTCACCATGTAGTAGGTAAAGAAGTCCTAAGGAATGCTTTCACTTTGAAACACAGGTCTTTAACAGTTCTGTTACATGAAAACTAAATCTCCCAAAGGTATCATGGTCCTTAATAAGCCCTACTCCCATCTTCTTAAGCACTTAATTACAAAGGATTGTTGAAAATGGATGTTTTCCTCAAAGCCAAGAATTCTTATAGGGATCTTTGCTATGAGCAACTAAGAAATTAGAAAGTAACATTTTGCATTACAACAGATATCATTCAAAATCCATTTAAATAGGTTCTTCAATAAATTTAAGAGTTATGTAAAGAACTGATTAAAATTTTGCCACAACCAACACACATTAAGAGCATAGTATGTGTCAGTGCTTCATATATACTGATATCTTTTAAAATTACAGCTACAAAGTAGTATCAGTAATCCCAAATTATTAAGGAATTAAGGCTCAGAAAGTTAAATGACTAGCCCAAAACTATGTACTGAAAAAGGCACAGGCAGAATTTCAAACCATGTGTCTACACTTTTTTTATTTCAGAAAGCAAGGTAGAACC